TTTCTGATTGGAGAGAGCTGGCTATAGACAAGTGTGAAATGTTAACGATAAAAAAATTAATAAATGGATGAATGGAAGCAAAGATGAGGCCTCAAGCAAGAATGTTAATTAAATGAATTAACAAATGGATGAATGGAAGCAAAGATGAGGCCTCAAGCAAGAATGTTAATTAAATGAATTAAAAGCTCACTGAAGATCAGTGTCTTATGGCAAAGACTGCACAGTCAATCCACATTTTATTTCATACGTTTTAATGCTCATGACGTGCTTTTGACAATCGGATCAGTTTTATCTGGATTGCACATAATTAATCGACAGTATATTTTGTCGATACTGTATTGGTCTCAGGTGATATAGTATTTTACCGTATTAGCAAAAATTAAACGAGCTCATGATCAAATTGGATGAAGATGAATAATCAGAAGCGTGTCTCTGATCAAAGCACATCGATAATAGGATAAAAGTAGCTATTCTCTTCGCAAGAAATGACACTATTTCGATAATCTGTTCAGCAATCATTCCGAATCAATATATAACTGTTCGTCGAATATGAATTACGCAGTTCATAATTCAACCATTGCAGAACAATTTGAGTTCATCAGGAAGAGATTCAAACTCGATATTTTGTTGCAAGAATCATTTGATTTTGTACACAATGATTATTATCTTGAAACTTTCCTCATTGAGCGTCTGTCGACAGCATATTAGTAAACATGCTATCAGCTTAATCTTCTTGCTGTTAATGTGTCTAAGTTCTGCTTTGATTTTTTCTTTTTTACAAGCGGACATTGATTTCATATGACTTTTTGCTACTCCCCGAATAGTAAATCAATATAACCTCAAGCAGCATCCTCTAGACACGTATCCCTCCAATCAAACATCTTTTATAGAGAGTGAAAATCCAGTCGTAAAGATTATTAAGGCTAAATGATCTTCATGTTTTATGATGAAAAACGAAATGAATTTCACATCAACAACTACATGTCATTCAGTGAGCAGTTGATTTTACAATCATGAATTGTGTATTTCCCGACGAAGTCTTAAGGGTGAGGGTGACATAATCGAACCAATCTTCAGTAACAAAAATGCTGTCGCAAACTTGATGAAGTGTATAGTTGAGATGCAGAAATGTGTCATAGTTGATGGAGATTTGTTTACAATCACATGATAATGTTTGTGAATATGTGGAATATAGTTGACGGTATTGTGTGATTGAGGGTGAACTGAATTTGAGTGTCTGTGTGATGGTGATCAATGATGTGTAGAGAATGAGAACGATAAGGGAGAGGATGAGAAGGATGATAAAAAGTCGTGTAGAAAGGCGTTGATTTCGAAGTTGATGTTGATCTTGAGTGGGCGAAATCGATGGGAATAAATTGTAGTTTTTGATGGTCAGCCACAGTTTGCGCCACAATTGAAGAAGACCAGTGAGCATGTTTCCTGCTTCGAATCCTATTAAATAAATCTTATTATCGATGTAGAGTTACATTGGTGTGAGTTATGGAGTGTATATTTAGCAGAGAGTCTATTCCAAACATATCGGACAACGATGACAGATTCAACTTTTTCTAATATGCATCACATTCATTTTATAGATTATAAACTATAATCTGGCGGATAGAAAGACTGTTGTGGCAGTATGAACGTGGCTGCAGGATACTATACAACTGATATGGGATGTCTTCCAAAATTGGTAATTGGTTTCTTGCGTTAAATCTAGATAATAAGAGCTGCTGCATTAGCAGTTCCTTATACATATACGTGAGTTGACGCATACGAGAAGTTTCACTGATTAAATAGAATGGTTGACGAGACTCCGAGGAATGAGTGCAGTCGTTTCGTCTATGTCTTTTGCTTTATTCATCTGTAGTAACATTTTCCAAGAAAAGAAAAGCCGATACATACCAAGAGTAATACTTGTGTCTAAATATTGTTAGAATAGTGGTAACCACCGGTGACTGAATACAAAAAGAAGCTTTTCCTTTAAAGACTAGAGCTTTTTATGGGCGACAATGAATTTCATTTTCTGGAAAGTAATAACAAATAGCGCGAACCAGTTTTTCTCACTTCTGTGCAATTCCTTTTTTTAGAAACGGATTTTGTGTTAACAAAGTGCCTCACCACTCATTTAAATGAACACAGAAAAGTTTCTCAGATCCTATGTATGCAAAATTGAAAATATAGGGTCGATTTCTTTTTCCCATTAATGTTCTTTACAGAGCAGCACAAGACTGTTCATGACACTTTTTTATTCAATATTCATCCAAGGTGTTCGGATCATCAATTGAAGACTATCAAGATTGAACACAATTAATAACCGATATAAGGACAATCGATCTCATTCATTAAAAAAAAGGCAATATGGTTAAGTAGGAAATACTTTGTTCCAGAATAGAAACTCTATTCTTGTCCGTGGAGTTGAAAAAATCGAAACAAACTTGTTTGTACTGGAGTCATTAAACGTTCAGTTTTGCCCTTCACTAATTTGGAGCTAATAAAGAAAATGGTTAAATAGAAAAAATAGAAATATTTCTCGGATGTGTTAAGTAGTGCAAGTTTTGTTATTTTTCAACAATATCTGTAATATAGTCGTGTACAACATGTTTTTCGAACTCAAACTGCTGCAGATTACAAGAATAATACATTATCTATTCGAACGATCAAAGTAAGAGAAAAACATGTCATACTGTCGTTCAAATACTAACTAGCTAGACTTCTTTTCATCAAAGTGTATCTGTAAATGATATCTTCTGCATATAGACAGAGAGAAGAAACTTTTTTACTCACTACATACTGAATCTTCGCAATAGCTATAGCCATACAAAATTCTCGACGGCGTTCTCAAAGAGAGTGAACACAATAGTGATAGGAGCATCAGCCTTCCGTCACATACACTCTGGAAAGATTCTCACCATCAAATTTACTACTTTACGTCATAAAGTATGTCGGTGCTTAGAGGAAAACTATACTAAAATCAAACGATACAATCACAATATTAAGCTTTATCGTAAATAGATTTCAGCAAAAGTATGTTTGATTAAACAAAACAAAGTTTTATCCACATTTGCATTCCACGTTCTTGTGTTCTGCGATCACTTTTTCCTCAAGTAACTTGAACATTTTCGAGAAGGCGACGGAAACAGCTAAAATCAAAATTTTCATCACCAACGATCGATCTATAACCAATACTCCAAAGAGTCGAATTTGATATTCTTGGAAACTATCTCGAATATATTCCGTTGAACTTTTCAAATAGAGTAAATCATTATCCATCTTATCCACTCTCCGTCTACGACGAGCTTCGTTGTCGACACATGGTTGATATTCGAGACAATGACGAGAATAGAAATTACAGGTAAAGCAACGATAATTAAATCGATGAATATCGCGATCGATTATGGATTTTGCTGAAACTCGTCGAGAGTCGTTCCACTCAATATTTGCACAATCGAAATCAGTTGAAATGGTTGAGGCCATGTTTTGGTTATTCCGCCAAGATAATCGAGTTTGTTCCGTGTTACGTTGAACAGCAATAGAAAGATTGAGATATTCTTCAGTATGTGCGATGTGAAGAATTTCTTTCCTCGCCTCGAATCAACAACAGTAACATAATCAGTTCATGAATAGTTCTTTTCATTGCTCGACCGACCGGACGGACACAGGTCATTATCGTCCGTCATCTATGTTTATCGAACAAAGCGTGACATATATGTATTCCTCTTCGATTCCTCGCCGTGAACGTTTTCTTCGTTTCATATAATGGCCTTACCTACTTTTTCTTCCCCATTTTACCTTAGGTGTGCTGCATGTAAGTTCTTTTGACCAAATTGTATGCCGACTAGGTCAATCTCTAACGTCACCCATTCACAGCACTCCGACAGAGTTTGTTTTTTCTTTTAGCCCGCACTAAAATCGAATTGAAACTAACAAGTGCCCAACTGGAATATTTACATCAATGTGAGCTAATTTGTCTTGGATTGATTGGCTTGACAAATCTCTTTGTGCTTAGATTATACAATCGATCAAAGTCCAGCGGAAGAAGTATTTTATGAACTTGGACAGCAGTGGAAGAAGGATGATTTCAAATTTCGCCTTGATTTAGAAGTTCGTTTAGTTTCAGTCAACGGTTATTCTAATTTCTTGCTCATTTCTAGCAGTGGTTCTTTTGTCGTCGAATGGCCGATTGGGAGGAGAGAGAGCGGCGCCAAGCAATGCCAAGAATTGCAGGATAGCTGTCTACACCAGAGCTTCTGTGTCGTATTTGTCTACAATTGTCAGTAGGAAAACCACTGTATTCGCTTTCGAAGGAAATAAATGCAAGTGGAAACTCATCTTGCTTGATGGAGACTAGAAAACAAGTAGCATCGGCAAACGACTTTTCTTACTTGAGTCGAAGAAGAATTGCTCTGTTGATAAAGCCTTCTCTGATATCGAATCCTTTTCGTTTCACAGATGAGTTCTTCTCTACATTTTTTTTGATTTAGAGGATGGAATCAAAGACTTGGGTCAGAATGATAGACTTAGAACCATACTTAATAGAAAAGTTGACATGCAAATTGAAATACTTGGAAAAGAGTAGAGCAGCTACGCGCGACGCCATCTTGAAGGTCAAGGATAACGATTGATCAGTCATTTCTCGCGATGTGAATAGATTCACTCATGCTCGTGCTATTTCATTGCTACAAATACCCACGAGTATCATTTTAATTCCAGATTCCGACCGGGAAAATATCTCCCTTTACGATTACTTCCTAAATCTTTTGAAAAATATTCCTGGTTGCACAAATGAATACATCTCTTACTTCATCTTCTTGTACCCCACAGTGCTGTTTATTGTTTTAACAAAACAAAAACAAAAAAGTTTGACTGGAGTGAAAAATGCACCAAACGATTAAAAAAATCGAATTCCATACAAATGTACAAATTCTTTATTTCTCGTCAAGTAGATCTAAATCTTCATTACCTCCTTGAAATTCTCGGATTGAAATTCCAATAAGTCGTAATAGGGTTGTTTTGCCTGTATCATTGTTTGCAGATAAACCGTCGATAATCGCATATAGTCGTCGGTAACCGGATCACCGGTGAATTGCTTTTAAGATTTAAGGTGTGTCAGATGTTGCTCCAACATTTTTTTTCTCCTGAACGGTCATCTTCATTTGGATCAAAACCAAGAGGGTTAAGGTTTTCGACGCATTCGATCGAAATTTCTTACTTCTAATTCAAAACCAACAGTGGTATGCATTTTTGACGAAGAAGCCATTTGATCTGGAAGAGTATCTAGAAGAAAGGTTTTGTCGGTCAGATAAATGTTTTTCTTCTTATGCGTATGAACTATCCTAGTGTTATTCGAAAATGAATCCACAAATTATTTCATTTGATCCACGAACGAAATATCTCGTCGATGGAGGATATAGTCTCTACATTTTCATCTAGCAACATCTAATCGAAATTCGAAATTTTCTCTTCGACGATTCGTATGATGTTCAATCTCCTTCTATCAAATCGAACAGAGTATGCAAAAGTTCCCTCAGAAATCTTTCTTCGATTCGTCTATCGGTAATTCCGATTCTTCCAAGTTGAATGTGTTTAACAGAAGAATTATTTGAAAAGGAATATAGGAGAAAGAAAAGGTTCCTGATAAGCATAGAAGAAGAAATGAACACTTTGACAGAGCGTGTGTGAAAAGTCAAAATATGGTAGATCGGCTGGGAAATCGTTCTGTTTATTCATCTGTGTTTTGTTTCCAATGATGTACTTTGTTCTATTCCAAGCAATTTCTTTTCTCAACAAAGATGAACCTTCATTAATAATGCCCTCGTTTTTTCAATCGATGAAATCCAAACATTCTGCTCAATTGCATTTCCATTGAAATCACCGCTGTTCGGTTCGGTGAAAAGATTTGTATTGTGTTGTGGAACGTGAAGAAGCGGTTTGGGTCTATATATTCGAACTCGATTAAAGAATATACACCTCTATACATTGAGCCCTCGCAATAGCTACCATCATCAAACTGTCTACAGTGTTCTCAAAGAGAGTGGACACCAATAGTGATGGGAGCATCAGCCTTCCGTCACATTCATACTAGAGAAATTCTCACCATCAAATTTACTACTTTACGTCATAAAGTATGTTGATGCTTAGAGGAAAATTAATCAAACGATACAATCACAATATTAAGCTCTATCGTAAACAGATTTCATAGCAAAAGTATGTGTGATTGGATAAAATAAAGTTTTATCCACATTTGCATTCCAACTTCTTGTGTTCTACGACCACTTTTTCCTCAAGTAACTTGAACATTTTCGAGAAGGTGACGGAAACAGCTAAAATCAAAATTTTCATCACCAACGATCGGTCTATAACCAATACCCCAAAGAGTCGAATTTGATATTCTTGAAAACTATCTCGAATATATTCCGTTGAACTTTTCAAATAGAGTAAATCATTTTCCATCTTATCCATTCTTCGTCTACGAGCCTCGTTGTCGCCATTTTCAATTTGTAATTCGACTTTCCTGACAGCTTCAACATGTGCACGTTGCATTATTTGGATGAGTTTCGTTGTCGACACATGGTTGATATTCGAGACAACGACGAGAATAGAAATCACAGGTAAAGCAACGATAATTAAATCGATGAATATCGCGATCGATTGTGGATTTTGCTGAAACTCGTCGAGGGTCGTTCCACTCAATATTTGCACAACTGAAATCAGTAGTAAAGTCATACAAATTGTAAATCCGAATGTGGCTGTAAACAAATGAATTCGAATGCGAGTTGTTTTACAACGACCTAAGATTCGTTTTAATTTCAACAGAAAATACTCGAGGTTGGCCGATTTTTCGATATTGTAATATTCTACACTCGTTTCAGTTTGTTCATTACAAGATTTATCCGTAGAGGCGCTATTCAAAGTTTGACAATAGTTTCGATGTAAATTTCTAAAACATTCGACTGCACGAAACATCATCATCATGAAGAAGAGAAAAGGTGTAAAGTTGATGACTAAATACGAAATCACGATAAACTGTGCGTACCATGGGTATGGACTTGTTTTCTCGCTGTTCTTTTTCTTAACGATTTCACGTGCAATGATTGGTGAACACACATGTAAAGCAACTAGGATAACAATGACAATTCCAACAATGCGATGTTGACGATCCAATAACTTTCGAAAGAAAGTCGAGAACGATGTTAAAATATTCTCTTCTTCGAGATCTTCTTCCAGATTTAATGAAAAATTCGTTGTTTTCTTCTGAATTAGACAAGATTTGACGATGGTCGGACGTGCTTGGTAACGTACGAGGTCATACACCGCTGCCCGATAGGAATTTCGGACCGAATGGTTTTTTCGACGTTCGTTCGCTAATGATTGGAGCATTCGAGCAACATAATCGAGCAAAACCATGTAAATCAATAAAGTTAAAGAAAAGTAGATCTCAATCGATGTGATTCGATTTTCTTCGTTAGCTTTGAGTTGTTTCGAATGATAATAGAAGAAAACCATGTTCGCTATCGTGATCAGTATCCAGATTGTGATTAAGAATGATATGAGTATTGAAATGAGTATCGATAGGAAATGACTTCTCTTCTTCTTTAAGTGCTTATACGCCATTTTGTACACAGTAGCAGGTAGAAGAAGCATTTCTTTGGCGTAAGTTCGTGTGAATTGAAGAATATGCGTTGACATTTCCTTCTTTTCTCTATTCAATGTCATTAATTTCTCGTGGACAACTAGTTTAACCTTTTCGAGAAAAGGTTCAACAGATTGATTCCAGATGGTGCCCATAGGCAACGTCAGATTGGTTTCATTGTGTCGGCGGATGAACTTGAGCTTAGTTATCTAAACTCAGCTACATTCTTTAACACAGATCTCTTCTAAAAGAAGGATATAATACCTTTATGTAATGAACCAGAGCATCAACGAATAGAGCACGAAAGGCGTAAACGTCGACGGGGACAGCATTTTCAGGAATAGGCAAAAGGTAATGAGCACACCTTGTTGGTTCGTGATCGTCCCAATCAATTCTGATATTAAATACTGTGACATGTAATGTTTGTTGAACATTTTCGTCTCAGATTAGTCGAAGAATGGTAAGTATATTCATTCCAGAGGATCACTTCCAACGCGGGAAGATTTCAACAATTAGATCATTTATCAGGTATTCGACTTCATCAATTCTATGGCCATTTTCATGAGCTATTTACAATGAAACAAACGTTTCGTTAGTCTTACAGAAGGCTATCCCTCAGCAATGATCAGTTTCTCTGAATAGAAATCAGTTGAAATGATTGAGGCCATGTTTTGGTTATTCCGCCAAGATAATCGAGTTTGTTCCGTTAGGTTGAAAAGCAATAGAAAGATTAAGATATTCTTCAGTATGTGCGATGTGAAGAATTTCTTTCTTCGCCTCGAATCAACAACAGTGACATAGTCAGTTCATGAATAGTTCTTTTCATTGCTCTCAGTGGCGTTCAATGAGAATTGCTCGACTGACCGGACGGACACAGGTCATTATCGTCCGTCATCTATATTTATCGAACAAAGCGTGACATTTGCTCTTTCTCATGTGACATATATATATTCCTCTTCGATTCCTCGCCGCCAACGTTTTCTTCGTTTCATATAATGGCCTTACCTACTTTTTCTTCCTCATTTTACCTTAGGTGTGCTGCATGTAAGTTCTTTTGATCAAATTGTATGCCGACTAGGTCAATCTCCAACGTCACCCATTCACAGCACTCCGACAGAGTTTGTTTTTTCTTTTAGCTCGCACTAAGATCGAATTGAAACTAACAAGTGCCCAACTGGAATATTTACATCAATGTGAGCTAATTTGTCTTGGATTGATTGGCTTGACAAATCTCTTTGTGCTTAGATTATACAATCGATCAAAGTCCAGCGGAAGAAGTATTTTATGAACTTGGACAGCAGTGGAAGAAGGATGATTTCAAATTTCGCCTTGATTTAGAAGTTCGTTTAGTTTCAGTCAACGGTTATTCTAATTTCTTGCTCATTTCTAGCAGTGGTTCTTTTGTCGTCGAATGGCCGATTGGGAGGAGAGAGAGCGGCGCCAAGCAATGCCAAGAATTGCAGGATAGCTGTCTACACCAGAGCTTCTGTGTCATATTTGTCTACAATTGTCATTAGGAAAACCACTATATTCGCTTTCGAAGGAAATAAATGCAAATGGAAATTCATCTTGCTTGATGGAGACTAGAAAACAAGTAGCGTCGGCAAACGACTTTTCTTACTTGAGTGGAAGAAGAATTGCGCTGTTGATAAAGCCTTGTCTGATATCGAATCCTTTTTGTTTCACAGATGAATTCTTCTCGACATTTTTTTGATTCAGAGGATGGAATCAAAGACTTGGGTCAGAATGATAGACATAGAACCATATTTAATACAAAAGTTGACACGCAAATTGAAGTACTTGGAAGAGAGCAGAGCAGCTACGCGCGACGCCATCTTGAAAGCCAAGGATAACGATTGATCAGCCATTTCTCGCGATGTGGATAGATTCATTCATGCTGGTGCTGTTTCATTGCTACAAATACCTACGAGTATTATTTTAATTCTAAGTTTCGACCGGGAAAATATCTCCCTTTACGATTGTATGATTACTTCCTAAATCTTTTGAAAAATATTCCTGGTTGCACAAATGAATAGATCTCTTGCTTCATCTTCTTGTACCCCGCAGTACTGTTTATTGTTTTAACCAAACAAAAACAAAAAAGTTTGACTGGAGGGAAAAATGCACCAAACGATTAAAAAAATCGAATTCCACACTAAAATGCACGAATTCATTATTTCTTGTCAAGTAGATCTAAATCTTCATTACCTCCTTCTTGAAATTCTCGGATTGAAATTCCAATAAGTCGTAGTAGGCTTGTTTTGCCTGTATCATTGTTTGAAGATAAACTATCGATAGTCGCATATAGCCGTCGGTGACCGGATTACCCGTGAATTGTTTTTGAGATTTAAGGTGTGTCAGATGTTGCTCCAACGTTTTTGTCTCCTGAACCGTCATCTTCATCTGGATTAAAACCAAAAAGGTTAAGGTTTTCGATACATTCGATGGAAATTTCTTACATCTAATTCAAAACCAACAGTGGGATGCGATGGTGACGAAGAAGCCATTTGATCTGGAAGAGTATTCAGAATAAAGAAGGTTTTGTTGGTCAGTTAAATGTTTTTCTCCTTATGCGTATGAACTATCCTAGTGTTATTCGAAAATTTCTCTTCGACGATTCGTGTGATGTTCAATCTCCTTCTATCAAATCGAACAGAGTATGCAAAAGTTGCTTCAGAAATCTTTCTTCGATTCGTCTATCCTTAATTCCGATTCTTCCAAGTTGAATGTGTTTAACAGAAGAATTATTTGAAAAGGAATATAGGAGAAAGAAAAAGTTGCTGATAAGCATAGAAGAAGAAATGAACACTTTGACAGAGCGTGCGTGAAAAGTCAAAATATGGTAGATCGGCTGGGAAATCGTTCTGTGTATTCATCTGTGTTTTGCGCCCAATGATCTACTTTGTTCTATTCCAAGCTATTTCTTTTCTCAACAAAGATGAACCTTCATTAGTAATGCCCTCGTTTTTTCAATCGATGAAATCCAAACATTCTGCTCAATTGCATTTCCATTGAAACTACCGCTGTTCGGTTCGGTGAAAAGATTTGTATTGTGTTGTGGAACGTGAAGAAGCGGTTTGCGTCTATATATTCGAACTCGATTAAAGAATATACCACTCTATACACCGAATCCTCGCAATAGCTACCATCATCAAACTGTCTACAGTGTTCTCAAAGAGAGTGGACACCAATAGTGATCGGAGCATCAGCCTTCCGTCACATTCATACTAGAGGAATTCTCTCCGTCAAATTTACTACTTTACGTCATAAAGTATGTCAGTGCTTAGAGGAAAACTATACTAAAATCAAACGATACAATCACACTATTAAGCTTTATCGTAAATAGATTTCAGCAAAAGTATGTTTGATTAAACAAAGCAAAGTTTTATCCACATTTGCATTCCAACTTCTTGTGTTCTACGATCACTTTTTCCTGAAGTAACTTGAACATTTTCGAGAAGGTGACGGAAACAGCTAAAATCAAAATTTTCATCACCAACGATCGGTCTATAACGAATACTCCAAAGAGTCGAATTTGATATTCTTGAAAACTATCTCGAATATATTCCGTTGAACTTTTCAAATAGAGTAAATCAGTATCCGTCTTATCCATTCTTCGTCTACGAGCCTCGTTGTCGCCATTTTCAATTTGTAATTCGACTTTCCTGACAGCTTCAACATGCGCACGTTGCAATATTTGGATGAGTTTCGTTGTCGACACATGGTTGATATTCGAGACAACGACGAGAATAGAAATCACAGGTAAAGCAACGATAATTAAATCGATGAATATCGCGATCGATTGTGGATTTTGCTGAAACTCGTCGAGGGTCGTTCCACTCAATATTTGCACAACTGAAATCAGTAGTAAAGTCATACAAATTGTAAATCCGAATGTGGCTGTAAACAAATGAATTCGAATGCGAGTTGTTTTACAACGACCTAAGATTCGTTTTAATTTCAACAGAAAATACTCGAGGTTGGCCGATTTTTCGATATTGTAATATTCTACACTCGTTTCAGTTTGTTCATTACAAGATTTATCCGTAGAGGCGCTATTCAAAGTTTGACAATAGTTTCGATGTAAATTTCTAAAACATTCGAATGCGCGAAACATCATCATCATAAAGAAGAGGAAAGGTGTAAAATTGATGACTAAATACGAAATCACGATAAACTGTGCGTACCATGGGTATGGACTTGTTTTCTCACTGTTCTTTTTCTTAACGATTTCACGTGCAATGATTGGTGAACATACATGTAAAGCAACTAGGATAACAATGACAATTCCAACAATGCGATGTTGACGATCCAATAACTTTCGAAAGAAAGTCGAGAACGATGTTAAAATGTTTTCTTCGTCGAGATCTTCTTCCAGGTTTAACGAGAAATTCGTTCTTTTCCTCTCAATTAGACAAGATTTGACGATGGTCGGCCGTGCTTGATAACGTACGAGGTCATACACAGCTGCTCGATGGGAATTTCCGAGCGAATGGTTTTTTCGACGCTCGTTCGCTAATGATTGAAGCATTCGAGCAACATAATCGAGCAAAACCATGTAAATCAGCAAAGCTAAAGAAAAGTATATCTCAGTCGATGTGATTCGATTTTCTTCGTTATCTTTGAGTTGTTTCGAATGATAATAGAAGAAAACCATGTTCGCTATCGTGATCACTATCCAGATTGTGATTAAGAATGATATGAGTATTGAAATGAGAGTCGATAGGAAACGACTTCTCTTCTTCTTTAAGTGCTTATACGCCATTTTGTACACAGTGGCAGGTGGAAGAAGCATTTCTTTGGCATAAGTTCGTGTGAATTGAAGAATATGCGTTGACATTTCCTTCTTTTCTTTATTCAATGTCATTAATTTCTCGTGGACGACTAGTTTAACCTTTTCGAGAAAAGGTTCAACAGATTGATTCCAGATGGTTCCCATAGGCAACGTCAGATTGATTTCATTGTGTCGACGGATGAACTTGAGCTTAGTTATCTAAACTCAGCTACATTCTTTAGAACAGATCTCTTCTAAAAAAAGGATATAATACCTTTATGTAATGGACTAGAGCGTCAACAAGTAAACCACGAAAGGCATAGATGTCGATGGAAACGGCGTTTTCGGGTATAGGTAATAGATAATGAGCACATCTTGTTGGTTCGAGATCATCCCAATCAATTTTAATATCAAATACTGAGTCATGTGTTATCGGTTGGATATCCTCGTCTCGAATCAGCCGGAGAATGGTAAGTATGGCGTTACGGGACTCACGAGTAGTTAATTCACCCGATTTATCGTTATTACAGAAGTGGAGAAATCGAGCAAAAGTATGATCTAAGTTCGTCGCCCAAAGGATGATTTCGAGCTGAATACGAGTTAATTGAAGGAAAGCGGTGTAATCATATCGACTATCATGAGTACATGGAATGGTGGCATAAATGTTTGGCACTTCACCATCGCTAAAAATAGAAAAATTCACAGTCATTATAATAATTTCGATCAATATTCTTTGTTCTTACTGAATGATATCGAACATCAATGGATCTTTTCCTTCGAGGTTCTTGAACTCATCATTGATCGTTTGTGAGGATTTGCTTTTCTTATTTTGAAGAGCAATTTTATTCCCATTGAGATATAGGTAACATTTCCGATTCGTTTTCGAATTGATTGCGCGTAAAATTTTCTCTAGACGGTATGAGACAGGTATTCGTTCCCAATACTCAGTCGTTTCTTCCCACATTGATTCATGTTTCTCATCAATCGGACGCCGATAATGAACGAAAAAGTTGATAGTTTGCTGATCATATTGAGTTAAATCGTTAAAATAGGGCTTAAGAACCGTTTCAGGGATATATGAAAATTGTGCTTCGTCCAGAGGCAGGAAAAGAATGTAAACTATTGCGTCGTTTTCGATTGCTGCAGTGTGACCGAGTTGTTGATTGAAATCTGCTAAGATTGTGTTACCAACAAGAACAGATACAATGTATTTACATTGTGGCTCATCTTTAAAATATAGAGAAAGTTGCTGTCTGACTAATTGTTTAAAGGTAAAAGTGCTTTCACAACAAATAGTTTCTACGTTGATTGATTGAAGAATAGTTGGCGAAATTAACATGATTTTAATGAGTTTTGTATCATTTTCTCCATGTTCTGAAGCGTCTGCTCTGTGAATATGTTTGAACACTTCGAACGGAGTACGACAAGGTGTTGAACCAGGTACAAATCTGGGGGGTGACCTAAATAGAGAGTACATAACCACATGAGTATTTTATTTATCGAAGAGAATCACTTTCAAGATTAAAGACTTACTCTTCTCTCCAACTCATTCTTTCCTCTTCGCGATATTGTGATGTTGATTGTCTATTCCTACGTAAATGTTTACGGCAATCCATACGATTAAGATTAAGCATATTATATACCTAAAAACCACAAGATTTTCTTCTGACGATGCTGTCGTAGGTGTTTCACTAAAACGAAAAGGATTTTAAACAAAAAAGTTGATTTCTTTTGAAGGCTGACATGTTGTCTAAAGTTGAATAGGGCTGCTCCACATCCTGTTTCATCCGAAATCGCACGGTTTTTTTAATGGAAGCTTTGAGTGAATCTTGATTTTTCAATTGCCGACTCGAACGCATATTATCAACAAACTTGATTCAGATAAAATTTCAGTATGTGCCTTCATTTTTATTCAGCGCAAAATTTATTATCTACAAGGTCATATGCTATGTTGTTACTACAAAAGACAGGCAACCTTGATTCATCCAACATGAAATATGTAAAAGATATTTATCAGTGGGAAACGAACCATTTATTAGAATCTCTCAATTTGAAAATGACTACATTTCTTGGCTATTTTGGATATACACTAACTAATCACACGCACACAACAAATAAATTGTTCCATTGAAATACTTATTAATGATTTTGTACTTATGGTGCTCGACGACGAAATGCAGCAGTCAATATGTACTCTATCATTGGTACAATTTCCATGCTCAAATCTTTGTCTTCTTCACTATGACTGAATTGATAATCTCGCCATTTATGAGCCGATACAACAAATACTGGAACTTGTTCCTGTTGGATGTTACGCAAGTCTTCAGTAATACTTGCCTTTGCTTCGTTGATTGTTTCTTGAATGATTAATTTGCGAGCATTTGCATCGGGTGGACCAAGATGACGTGGCCGTCTTCTTAGTTTGGATTGTACTCTCTCGTCAGCCTTGTTAATGACGATGACAACATCAGTTTCAAATCTTCGAGCATCTTCAAGTATTGTTCTTTCATATTCACCCAAGCCAGAAGCGGTAACTAAGAGAATACAATCGAATGCATACAAAAGATTTTGTTCGAAATAATCTTCTGTTGGATGATCGAAAGTACCACACCCTGCATGATCCCAAAAGCGTACAAAGTCCAGATCGTGACCTTCGATAAAGCCATAAGCTCTTGTTTCTCGTGTTGTTTGTGTCTCACCGACGCGTGCTGCGTCTAATTCATTATTGTTGTATACACCTGTGTCATCGATTTCTCGTAAATAATTAATCAATGTCGATTTTCCTATCATAGACAATTATCTTTGTTTGCATAATTGCAAATTAGCGCAAGCACTTACCAGAATTTTGTGATCCGCAAAATGCAAAATTGATGTAATTTTCTATATTCATATTCAGCGCTTGTTGGGCATTGGTTCTCATTTCTTCCAGAGGTATTCCTCGAGGTGGTCGTGGAGGAGTTCCTCGCCGCTCTCTGAGCCTATTTATCGTATTGCCAATAATGTTTCCTAATGTGTTGGCCACCAATGGAATAGCTGCAGCAGCAGCTACTACGCCTAATACTGTTATATTGGACATGAGTGATTGACGAAGAAGTTATCTTTATATCTACTCATATAATTGATAATTTAAATAAAAGATGTTATAAATACTCCAGAACTAATGTTTTATAGATGTTTTAAAAAGAAAAAACTTTTCAATCAAACCATGCAGTCCTAATCTTATTTATGAGCGAAAGAAAGCACATATGTATAGCATGAAAATTGAATTCAAACTGTCAAGTGTAGTACGCGGAGCATTACCGAGATTCACACATTCAACAGGGCTTCTGATGACGGAGACTGCATTAAACTATACTTGGACAGACACGTAGCGAAGAAAAACAACGTCTTTACCTGTTAAACAGGTTGCTTTCTGCAAAGTAGAGTAACATCGACTGTCAACAATCGAGCTTTTACTCATAAAATTACTTTTTTAACGCGTAAAAAATTTCTCGTTTATTCATTGGTTATCTGTTCTGGGAGCAGCGAGATGCCATTTACTGCACATTTTAAGAATGGGTATTGAGTGAGTGCTTATTTACATTCTTCAGAACACATCGGATCTGAGAATCGAACATCATTCCGTTATCAGATTTTCATATATACAATATCTGATGAGATTCTGTCGAAAATTCATTTCTGTCTCCAATTTCTTTCTACACCTATCCAGATCCTCCACAGCATTTGTGGTTTATCTTCGCAGTCCTCATGGACTAAATCGAAATGAATTTATTCACTTTTCTAAGCTCTGCAGCTATGATTCTCATATGAAACAACAAACAAAAGACGTTCTAACAAGTATTGGCTTTTGAAAGATCTGCTATTTTGGTGTTACAATAAATAGATTTTCCTCCTTACTCCAATCGCGCCTGGGTGCGTCTCAATCTTAATAACAGTCTTGCGTTAATAAAATATTTTGCTACACTCGTCGTTAGTTACGAAAAACTAAAAATGTTTTATTTTAACTGCTGCGGAATTCTTTCACGACTTATTTATGGAGAAGAAAGTAAATAATTGATCTCGGCTTTTTCATGTACTCTGTTCTGACAATGTAAGAACTTTTTTCCGTTCGAATTTAAGCATGTGTTTGTTACGATGCATTAAGAAAGAAAAATATCACCACAATTTTTTTTCTCCTTTTCTTTCTTAAGTAAAGAGTGTAGAACAAATGAATAGTGAAGCGTTTCGTCTTGTTTGGCTCGATAAAAATGGAAATGATTCAAAAACAAATATCAAGATTGAAGAACAACTTCGTAACTGTACAAAACATTTGAAAATCTTCAAATATGAAACAGCTTGTGAACTGTATATCCGTTCTTTATCGGAAAACGATCGAATTACTTGGCTTGTCAATGCTTCTTTGGCTGAAACAATGCTACCAAATTTACATGAACTACAACAAATATCATCAATCTATGTTTATAACTCCAGTGAAACAATGGACCATGAGAAATGGACCAAAGATTACCCAAAGGTAGGAAAATATTATACTTTGACTGTAACGTAAACATTCGCATCCGAAGATGACTGATCGAAAGATTTAGTATGAAGTTGTTGGATTCGAGATTGCGTGCACGAAAGTGCGAGAGATTAGACAAATCGAAAAGGACAAGTATCGATTTGTTCTCTTTTCTAGATCAAATGTATTATGGCTGATTTGAATCTTCTTGTTGAACGAATCCGAACAGATTGCAATCAATGTCGACGAAGAAAAGTTGAGGATCAACCTGTATTCAATGTTTTTAACGCTAATTCTTCGACTGAACAATCAACAATGGGTCTCAACGGAGAATTTGTTCATTCGCAATTACTCATCAATTGTTTACTTCGCATGCAAGCGAATTCTACTGACAAAGATGAATTGATATCTTTATCAAAACAAGAATATAAAAGTGATTTGTCCATTATTTATGATTTTGAAGAGAATTACTCGTCCGATCGAGCATTGTGGTGGTATACACGTGAATCATTCTTATACCAGCAATTGAATAAAGCTCTTCGGACACAAAATATCGATTTATTATTTCTTTTTCGCTTTTTCATTCGTGATATTCATGATCAACTGGAGAAAAATCGATGTTCTTCGCCCATTTGTGTTTACCGAGGCCAAGTCATTTCGAACGACGAACTAAATTTATTACAGAGCTCCATCGGATGCTTAATTTCAATGAATTCGTTTCTTTCCACAAGTATTAATCGGCGTTCGGCTTTATCATTTCTTTATTCTTCATCGGAGAAAATGCCGAAAGTTCTCTTTGAAATCGAGGCTGATCCAGAACTTGAAAATATTAAACCATTTGCTAACATAACTTCACTCAGCTATTTTTCGGGCGAAGAAGAAGTTCTTTTCATGTTAGGATCAATCTTTCGCATTGTTAACATTGATGAAAATGATCGTGGAATATGGATTTTACGATTGAAATTATATAATAACGATGCGTATGACGTTCAAGCTGTTTTTGATTATATGAAAGATCAGTATGGAAATGGTGAGACGACGATTCTTTCGTTGGGAATGATTTTGACACAGATGGGTAAATATGATCAAGCGGAAAGGTATTTTCGGCGTGTTTTGAAAGATCTTCCATCTAATCATGCAGATATCAGCGCTTGTCATCATAATCTCGGAAATCTATTCGATAACAAAGGTGATTATAAATCAAGTCTCGATTGGCATCAGAAGGCACTTGCTATGATGATGAAATCATTTCAACCGAATGATGAAAGAATCGCAACAAGTTACAACAGTATCGCTGCTGTTTATTGTAAAATGGAGGATTATACGAAAGCGCTTGAATATTTCTTAACAGCATTGAATATTTGGCGACAAACACTAGGAGAACAACATCCAAATATCGGCCAGTGTTTAAGTAACATCGCCGGTGTTTATCTCATGTCTGGAAAAGGTTCGGAGGCACTTGAATATCTATTGAAAACTTTGATTATATACGAACAGCATCTACCTGCAAATCATCCTCAGGTTGGTGATTTACATAATAATATTGGCGCAGTTTATTCAAGTCTTAACCAGATGGATCTTGCATTAGATCATTTTGATAGATCATTGAAGATTAAAGAAAAATGCCTTCCTTCACAGCATCCAGACATTGCAATGACTTTGTATAATATCGGTCTCATTTATGAAGATCAAAGTCAGTGGCAACAGGCTATTTCATATTTGGAAAGAGCCCTTAACATTTACCGGCATCTACTTCTTCCAAATCATCCAACGATTATCAAAGTTGAGCAAATTCTTGCGCGTGTTTGTGAGAAATCTAAAACGACGTGATATTTACGATTCTTCAATTCCTTTACAATTAGTCAGACAATAAATTGTATGCATTTGGATGTATGACAGAAAATTTAATTGAATACCAATAAAGTGTTCATAATTAGTTTCATACCCTCAAGGTAAAAATACTCAAGTAGGACACACTTCGGTAACAGTCTAGAATGTCCTCGGACGAAACGTCCTATTTCTTTTTGTCTGAGGACATTCGTAGCAAAGATCAGACGGAACCCAGAGCTGTTCTGTAAGTTGCAATAAATTCTTCCTTGACGTTCTAGAAAGATCTATAGACAGTGTACTTTGTACCAAAGAATAATTAACCAAAAGTTCGTTCCGAGAAAGACTAAAATATACGATCTCATCCCGTCATTTATATTTCTATCTAAGGAAACGTCTGTTCTTTGATATAAAAGAAATCATGAATGATTAGTATAAAAGAATTAGCCATTCAGGAATGGATGAGCACATCCATTGTCAGCTTATGTTTTCTCTTCTGCTAAGTGAAGAACTTAAGAAAATAGAAATCTTTGGATGATATAATCTGCTTTGCATTTTCTTGTCTGCCTTGAAGTTATTCATTCGGTAGTTTTTCCAGTGCTGAAAACTAATCAAACGTCCATGTCGATGTTAGATACACTTCCTGTTGTTCAACAATACATCGTATGGTATGGTTGGCCAATATGGCTAGCTTTCGGACCCATTGGATGTTTACTTAATATTTTACTCTTTTCTCGCAAACAATTTCGAAAGACATCGTGCTGTTTGTGTGAGTACTGCACCATAAAAGAAGAATTCAGAGTTATAGAAATTTGCTATTTCACATTAGATTTTCTGGTCGCATCTGTAGCAATGCTTATAGCTTTATGCATAGGTATCATACCACTTATATATGCATTTAATCATCCAAATCCATACAATACTATATCGAGTTTTTGCAAAGCCCGCAATTATCTTCTCTCAATGAGTGCAATGACGTACCGTTGGCTGATGGTAGGCGCATGTTTCGACCGCTATATTCACACCCTGGCCCATGGAAATTTACGACGATTCACAAGTGTACGAATCGCACTTCGTATTATAGCAGTCATTATCATCATTTGGCTAATTTTACCATTCTATCAAATACCTTGGACCGAAGTACAAATGAATGTGTGCATATTTTCCATTCCAGCTGTGGGGATCTATCATAGCTTTTTAACGATCATTTGTGGTGGCCTTCTTCCACCCTTGTGCATGCTGATATTCACTCTACTCATTCGGCACAATCTTGCTGTTAACGGGTTTCGTCTACGTCAATATCGAAATCAAGTACAACAACGAAATGAACAACAAGACAACAATATTCTTCGTTCACGTGATCATCAAGCCATTCTTATGCTATTTATTCAAATATTTGTTTACATCATCAGCAACTTACCTTGGACAATTGGGTTAGTGTACACTGCTTTGACACGATATATGGCCAAGTCAACTTATCAGCTAGTCATGGAAACATTTCTGAAATTCTTAGCCGAATATATCTGGTATATGTATCCTGTTTTGTCGTTCTATATGTACACTCTTGTATCGAGTACGTTTAGGCGAGAATTTAAGAAAATAGTCAGATCTGTCATGACTTATCGAGCCGAGAATCCGACAATCACTCGACGCATCGCACCACAAACGTAGAACATATCGTACCCAACTCATTTTAATGTTTTCTGTTGTCTGTCGAAGTCAGGAAAAAGAAATAAACTCTCTACAACTCGAGTTTTTGTATTTTCGTCACGAGTCTCACCCGTTAAGTATAGCCACTCGCAAGTTGACACAAACACAAGACAACACAAAAAGCCAAAATGTTTCTTTTATATATCGTCGAAGTCGCAGAGGTCATTACGTTTTCGAACCTGTATTCACACAGCAATCACATGTATTGATCAAAATCACCAAAGTATTGTGCCGATTGTCTATGACAGCGACATCCAAGTTTCCATCACTATTGAAATCGCCTTTAACAAATACTTCTGGTGCGCTCATTGCTCCTGTCGAGAGTGTCATCTGCGGCAAAAACGTTCCGTCACCCAAGTCAGACCAAAGTCCTATCGTATGCAAATTCGAATTGCTCACAACGATATCAGAATTATTATCATTTGTTGAAATCATCCACAATGACCCAATACGGACTACTATATGTACCCGTGGACAAAGTCAGTTGGTTTCCAAACGTACCATTATTGTTTTCCAAAAGCACGGGGACCTTATTTCTATTTGCATTGACAACAGCTATCGGGGAACGGTACAATCTGCAAATATGTCTTGTTTTGTTTGTTTAGTCTGAGAAGTAAAGCATTTTTCGTGTTGTTTTTCTTTCGATCAAAGACGAATCTGTTTCATCATGTGCAGAACTTTCGACTGTTCTAGTTATTACATAAATACATCTACCATCCAGGTTTGTGAACGATCAATATTGCTTAGAGAATTTCAATAAATCAGTGTCTAATGAGCACGAATTGTTTGCTGGAAGAACATCGTCTTTGCTCAATGTCAATTTGTCTATCATTGTCCATCTAGATTGAGAACGCATCGTAAAAGTGAAAGGCGGTTGCTTGTGGAAGACACGTAAACTTCGTAAATCTAATCAAACCTTTTTCACATGGAGATTAAAAAAACATCAGTTTTCGCAGTTATTCGTATAGAACCGACTATCAGAATGAAATTGTGTTTGGAACATGTGAACAGATGTTTTAGTGGTTTTTGAAATTAGAGCGAAATATAGCCTTACAGCTTCATTATATTTATTTCAAACGGTGAGTTCTGTTCGATCGGAAGCACTCCTGTAAAACTGAAAGTGCACCGATTTTTTTATATTGGCTTTTCGATGAATTATCAACCAAGATACATATGTATTAACTTACACGGATTTTGATGATTCAAGTTTAAAACATTCAATATATATGTCGTAGTAATNGAGCAAAAGTATGATCTAAGTTCGTCGCCCAAAGGATGATTTCGAGCTGAATACGAGTTAATTGAAGGAAAGCGGTGTAATCATATCGACTATCATGAGTACATGGAATGGTGGCATAAATGTTTGGCACTTCACCATCGCTAAAAATAGAAAAATCCACACTTATTATAATAATTTCGATCAATATTCTTTGTTCTTACTGAATGATATCGAACATCAATGGATCTTTTCCTTCGAGGTTCTTGAACTCATCATTGATCGTTTGTGAGGATTTGCTTTTCTTACTTTGAAGAGCAATTTTATTCCCATTGAGATATAGGTAACATTTCTGATTCGTTTTCGAATTGATCGCTCGTAAAATTTTCTCTAGACGGTATGAGACAGGTATTCGTTCCCAATACTCAGTCGTTTCTTCCCACATTGATTCATGTTTCTCATCAATCGGATGCCGATAATGAACGAAAAAGTTGATAGTTTGCTGATCATGTTGAGTTAAATCGTTAAAATAGGGCTTAAGAATCGTTTCAGGGATATATGAAAATTGTGCTTCGCCCAGAGACAGGAAAAGAATGTAAACTATTGCATCATTTTCGATTGCTGCAGTGTGACCGAGTTGTTGATTGAAATCTGCTAAGATTGTGTTACCAACAAGAACAGATACAATGTATTTACATTGTGGCTCATCTTTAAAATATAGAGAAAGTTGCTGTCTGACTAATTGTTTAAAGGTAAAAGTGCTTTCACAACAAACAGTTTCTACGTTGATTGATTGAAGAATAGTTGGCGAAATTAACATGATTTTGATGAGTTTTGTATCATTTTCTCCGTGTTCTGAAGCGTCTACTCGGTCAATATGTTTGAACACTTCGAAAGGAGTACGACAAGGTGTTGAACCAGGTACAAATCTGGGGGGTGAGCTAAATGGAGAATACATAATCACAGGAGTATTTTGTTTATCGAAGAGAATCACTTTCACGATTCAAAACTTACTCGTCTCTCCAACTCATTCTTTCCTCTTCGCGATATTGCGATGTTGATTGTCTATTCCTAAGTGAATGTTTACGGCAATCCATACGATTAAGATTAAGCATATTATATACCTAAAAACTACAGGATTTTCTTCTGACGATGCTGTCGTAGTTGTATCACTAAAATGAAGAGATTTTTATACGAAAAGTTCGTTTCTTTCGAAGACTAACATATTCTCTAAAGTTGAATAAGGTTGTTCCACGTCCTGTGTTGTACGAAATCGCACAGTTTTTTTAATGGAAGCTTTGAGTGAATCTTGACTTTTTGATTGTCGACTCGAACGCATATTTTCAATAAACTTCGTCTAGATAAAACTTCAGTGTGTGCTTTCATTTTTATTCAGTGCAAAATTTGTTATCTACAAGGTAACATACTACGTTGTTACTACAACAGGCAGCCAATCTTAATCCTACCAACATGAATATATAAAAGGTGTTTATCAGTGAGAAAAGAACCATTTATTTGAATCTCTTGGCTATTTTGGATATATGCACTAACTAATCACACACACATACACAACAAATAGATTGTTCCATTGAAATACTTATTAATGATTTTGTAGTTATGGTGCTCGACGACGAAATGCAGCATTCAATATGTACTCTATCATTGGTACAATTTCCATGCTTAAATCTTTGTCTTCTTCACTATGACTGAATTGATAATCTCGCCATTTATGAGCCGATACAACAAATACTGGAACTTGTTCCTGTTGGATGTTACGAAGTTCCTCAGTAATACTTGCCTTTGCTTCGTCGATTGTTTCTTGAATGATCAATCTGCGAGCATTTACATCGGGTTGACCAAGATGACGTGGTCGTCTTCTTAGTTTTGATTGTACTCTATCGTCAGCCTTGTTAATGACGATGACAACATCAGTTTCAAATCTTCGAGCATGTTCGAGTATTGTTCTTTCATATTCACCCAAGCCAGAAGCGGTAACTAAGAGTATACAATCGAATGCATACAAAAGATTTTGTCTGAAATAATTTTCTGTTGGATGATCGAAAGTACCACACCCTGCATGGTCCCAATAGCGTACAAAGTCTAGTTCGTGACCTTCGATAAAGCCATAAGGTCTTGTTTCTCGTGTTGTTTGTGTCTCACCGACGCGTGCTGCGTCTAATTCATTATTGTTGTATACACCTGTGTCATCGATTTCTCGTAAAGAATTAATCAATGTCGATTTTCCTATCATAGGCAATTATCTGTGTTTGCATAATTGCAAATTAACGCAAGCACTTACCAGAATTTTGTGGTCCGCAAAATGCAAAATTGATGTAATTTTCTATATTCATATTCAGCGCTTGTTGGGCATCGGTGATCATTTCTTGTAGAAGTATTCCTCGAGGTGGTCGTGGAGGAGTCCCTCGCCACCCTCTGAGTCTATTTATCGTATTGCCAATAATGTTTCCTAATACGCTGACCATCAATGGAACAGCTGCAGCAGCAGCTACTCTTAATACTGTTGTACTGGACATGAGTGATTGACGAAGAAGTTATCTTTATATCTACTCATATAATTGATAGTTTAAATAAAAGATGTTATAATACTCCAGAACTAATGTTTTATACATGTTTTAAACAGGAAAAGCTTTTCCATCAAAATTGGTTGTTTTCGAATGACATAACGTGTAGTGACGGCGTCAAGGAGAGGGGGACTGACTGAGTCCCCTCAGAATTTTTTGGAGGGGGCTCAGTCCCCTTTAAATGAAAATCCTGACGCCGTCTCTAATAACGTCAGCAGAAAAACAACACACCTAAAAGTACTATCGAGTGAAGGTTTTACAGCAATTTCGTTTTTACTGATGTCATTAGGGTGAGTACTATCGACGCGGGATGAATTGAAGAAGACTTCATGTGTGCAAAGCATTCATATGAATTATGCAGTCCTAAACTAATTCATGAGCGAAGAAAAAGCACCAATGTACAACTTGGGGATTGAATTCAAACTTTCAACTTAAATAATAGAGTATTACCGAGGTGCACAGATCCGAAAGGACTTCTAGTGGCGGAGATTACATTCAACTATACTCAGACAGGCACGTATCAGAAAAACGACGGCTTTACCTGTTAAAAAAGTTTTTTTTGTGAAGGTGAATATCTGAGACAACATTGACTGCTAACAGATCGAGTTTCTTAAAAAAAAGTTTTTTTAACACGTAGAAACGTTCTCGTTTTTTCGTCAGTTGTCTGTCCGCGAAGCAACAAGGAATCATTTACTGCACATTTGACTAAGATTTATCAAAGCAGAGACTCAACCTATTGATGTCAAATAAAATCGAACGTCATTCCATCATCTGATATTATCCTGACGAGAATCTATCGAACACTCATAAAACTCAATAGTATTGCCTTAAAATATTCAGCCAGACTCTCAAGAGAATGTATTTGTTTAGGTGGTGAAATGACAACGTTGCCCAGATTTTTCAGAGCACTTATGTTTTATATTCGCAGACCTCATAAACTAAATTGTGACGAATCTAGGCATTTTTCAAGTGCTACAACTGACACTCATGTAAAACGACGATAGCAAAAGGTACTCTGACAAAATCTACTTTCAAAGACTTATTTCACACTTTCTATTTGTTAAATGAAGAGCTCTTAGTTTTGCGGTGCTATAATAGCTACATTTTCCTCCTTACTCCAATCACGCCTGGGTGCATTTCAATCTTAATAACAGTCTTGCGTTAATAAAATATTTCGCTACACCCGTCGTTAGTTACGAAAAACTAACAATGTTTTATTTTAATTGCTACGGAATTCTTTTATGACACAATTATGGAAAAAAAAGAAAAGAATTGATCTGAACTCGTTTATGTACTTCGTTCTGGCGATGTTAAGAAAGAAAAATGTCACAACAATTTTTTTCTCTTTCTCTTTCTCTTTCTTTTTCTTAAGTAAAGAGTATAGAACAAATGAATAGTGAAGCGCTTCGTCTTGTTTGGCTCGATAAAAATGGAAATGATTCAAAAACAAATACCAAGATTGAAGAACAACTTCGTAACTGTACAAAGCATTTGAAAATCTTCAAATATGAAACACCGTGCGAACTCTATATCCATTCTTTATCTGAAAACGATCGAATTATTTGGATTGTCAATGCTTCTTTGGCTGAAACAATGCTACCAAATTTACATGAACTACAACAAATATCATCAATCTATGTTTATAACTCCAGTGAAACAATAGACCGTGAGAAATGGACCAAAGATTACACAAAGGTAGGAAAATATTATACTTTGACTGTAACGTAAACATCCGCATCCGAAGATGACTGATCGAAAGATTTAATAGAAAGTTGTTGCATTCGAGATTGAGTACACGAAAGTGCAAGAGATTAGACGAATCGAAAAAGAAAAGTATCAATTTGTTCTTTATTGTAGATCAAATGTATTATGGCTGATTTGAATCTTCTTGTTGAACGAATTCGAACAGATTACAATCAATGCCGACAGAGAAAAGTTGAGGATCAACCTGTATTCAATGTTTTTAACGCTAATTCTTTGAATGAACAATCAACAATGGGTCTTAACGGAGAATTTGTTCATTCGCAATTACTCATCAATTGTTTATTTCGAATGCAAGCGAGTCCCACTGACAAAGATGAATTGATATATTTATCAAAACAAGAATATAAAAGTGATTTGTCCATTATTTATGATTTTGAAGAGAGTTACTCGTCCGATCGAGCATTATGGTGGTATACACGTGAATCATTCTTATACCAGCAATTGAATAAAGCTCTTCGGACACAAAATATCGATTTATTATTTCTTTTCCGATTTTTTATTCGTGATATTCATGATCAGCTGGAGAAAAATCGATGTTCTTCACCCATTTGTGTTTACCGAGGCCAAGTCATTTCCAACGACGAACTAAATTTACTACAGAACTCAATTGGATGCTTAGTTTCAATGAATTCGTTTCTTTCCACAAGTATTAATCGGCGTTCGGCTTTATCATTTCTCTATTCTTCATCAGAGAAAATGCCAAAAGTTCTCTTTGAAATCGAGGCTGATCCGGAACTTGAAAATATTAAACCATTTGCTAACATAACTTCACTCAGCTATTTTTCGAGTGAAGAGGAAGTTCTTTTTATGTTAGGATCAATCTTTCGCATTGTTAGTATTGATGAAAATGATCGTGGAATCTGGATTTTACGATTGAAATTATATAATAACGATGCGTATGACGTTCAGGCTGTTTTTGATTATATGAAAGATCAGTATGGAAATGGTGAAACGACGATTCTTTCGTTTGGAATGATTTTGACACAGATGGGTAAATATGATCAAGCGGAAAGGTATTTTCAGCGTGTTTTGAAAGATCTTCCATCTAATCATGCAGATATCAGCGCTTGTTATCATAATCTCGGCAATCTATTCGATAACAAAGGCGATTATAAATTAAGTCTCGATTGGCATCAAAAAGCACTTGCTATGATGATGAAAGCATTCCAACCGAATGATGAAAGAATCGCAACAAGTTACAACAGTATCGCTGCTGTTTATTGTAAAATGGAGGATTATACGAAAGCGCTTGAATATTTCTTAACAGCATTGAATATTTGGCGACAAACACTAGGAGAACAACACCCAAATATGGGTCAGTGTCTAAGTAACATCGCCGGTGTTTATCTCATGTCTGGAAAAGGTTCGGAGGCACTTGAATATCTGTTGAAAACTTTGATTATATACGAACAGCATCTACCCGCAAATCATCCTCAGGTTGGTGATTTACATAATAATATTGGCGCAGTTTATTCAAGTCTTAACCAGATGGATCTCGCACTAGATCATTTTAATAAGTCATTGAAGATTAAAGAAAAATGCCTTCCTTCACAACATCCGGACATTGCAATGACTTTATATAATATCGGTCTCATTTATGAAGATCAAAGTCAATGGCAACAGGCTATTTCATATTTGGAAAGAGCCCTTCACATTTACCGTCATCTACTTCTTCCAAATCATCCAACGATTATCAAAACCGAACAAATTCTTGCGCGTGTTTGTGACAAATCTAAAACGACGTGATACTTACGATTCTTGAATTCCTTTATAATTAGTCAGACAATAAATTGTTTGCATTTGAGTGTATAACAGAAAAGTTAACTGAATAGCATAAAATGTTCATATTTAGTTTCTCAGTATGCGAATCGGATTTCTATATCTTTCAAGCCGGTCGTGAGTGTTATCAACAACAAAAAAATATGAAAAGAAAAATGATATGCTTGGAACTCGAACAGACATATTCTATCTACCAAGTGGATGCTCTAGACACATGAAACAAAACTTAATCTCTGGTTTAACGTCGAGAAAATCGATGAGAATTTTCTGACAAGGTGTGCGAACGTCAAGAGTTGACAAACTATACACGGCAGATGATATGAAATGAAAATGTATAAAGCACACCATTTTGTACTCCGAAAACGTTCGAGCACAGTTATAAAACACTGACAAAGATATGAATTCGACGCGTGAACTTCAAGTCAAATAGATTTTAGTGTAGATTCAGTTATTTTCGGTAGTTGATGTGATACTAAAGAGAGATTTATTGAATATGTCAAATCTATTCGCGACTTATTCGCTGACGTGCATAGGGATTTTTTATAATAGTTTTTAGTTCAAAAAGCACGTTTAATATCATAGCCAACGCAGAGATTCTTTTTTTTCGTACGATGCGTGACTTTTCCTGACATGTTGTGTCTGGTATACTGAAACAGGTCTACAAAATTTTAAAACTTGTATTACCATTTCCATTTTTGACTCCTATGGTATGCTTTGGACGTGATCTGGATTTAATGACATGTCCAAAACACGATACAACACTAACGAGTACTACTATCAGCGTTTACAGCTATATCGTTTCATATCCTCAAGATAAAAATACTCGAGTATGACTTCAGTAGTTGATCTTCATTGTTTGACACACATTGCACGATATATATATATATAAAGTGAGACCTTCGAGGACATTCGTAGCAAAGATTAGGCGGAACCCAGAGCTGTTCTCTAAGTTGCAATAAATTCGTCCTTCACGTTCGAGAAAGGTCTATAGGCAGTGTACTTTGTACCAAAGAATAATTAATTAAAAGTTCGTTCCGAGAAAGATTAAAATATACGATCTCATCCCGTTATTTCTATTTCTATATCTAAGGAAACGTCCGTTCTTTGATATGAAAGAAATCATGAACGTTTAATATAAAATAGTGAGCCACCGAGGAATTGATGAGCACATCCATTGTCAGGTTATTTTCTCATCAGCTAAGTGAAGAACTAAAGAAAATAGAAATCTCTGGATGACATAATCTTTTCTGCATTTTCTTGTCTGCTTTGAAGTTATCCATCTGTTAGTTTTTCCGGTCCCAAAAACATCCTCAACGTTCATGTCGGTGTTAAACACACTTCCTGTTGTTCAACAATACATCGTATGGTATGGTTGGCCAATCTGGCTAGCTTTCGGTCCCATTGGATGTTTGCTCAATATTTTACTCTTTTCTCGCAAACAATTCCGAAAGATATCGTGCTGTTTGTGTGAGTACTACATCACGAAAGAAGAATTCAGAATTATAAAAATTTGCTATTTCACATTAGATTTTCTCGTCGCATCTGTAGCAATGCTTATAGCTTTATGCATAGGTATCATACCACTTGTATATGCATTCAATTATCCAAATCCATACAATACTATATCGAGTTTTTGCAAAGCCCGCAATTATCTTCTCTCAATGAGTGCAATGACGTACCGTTGGCTGATGGTAGCCGCATGTTTTGACCGCTATACTCACACCCTGGCCCATGCAAATTTACGACGATTCACACGTGTACGAATCACACTTCGTATTATAGCAGTTATTATCATCATTTGGCTAATTTTACCATTCTATCAAATACCTTGGACTGAAGTACAAATGAATGTGTGTGTATTTTCCATTCCAACTGTGGGGATCTTTCATAGCTTTTTAACGATCATTTGCGGTGGCCTTCTCCCGCCTTTGTGCATGCTGATATTTACTCTACTCATTCGGCACAATCTTGCTGTTAACGGGCTTCGTCTACGTCAATATCGAAATCAAGTACAACAACGAAGTGAACAACAAGACAACAATATTCTTCGTTCACGTGATCATCAAGCCATTCTTATGCTATTTGTTCAAATCTTTGTCTACATTATAAGCAATTTACCTTGGACAATTGGATTAGTGTACACTGCTTTGACACGATATATGGCCAAGTCCACTTATCAGCTAGTCATGGAAACGTTTCTGAAATTCTTGGCCGAATATATCTGGTATATGTATCCTGTTTTGTCGTTCTATATGTACACCCTTGTGTCGGGTACGTTTAGGCGAGAATTCAAGAAAATAGTCAGATCTATCATGACTTATCGAGGCGAAAATCCGACAATTACTCGACGTATTGCACCGCAAACATAGGAAACATCTTACCCAACTCAATTCAACATAGAATAATTGACTTATTTTGATATTTTCTGTTGTCTATCAAAATCATGAAAAAGAATCAAAATTAAAAACTCAAGTGTTGTATGTTTGTTGAGAAACTCACTTTTTGAAATTATTTTCCTGCGTCGAAACCCTTTCTCAATAAATAAACTGTCAGAAAGTACAGGAAGCATGTTGATGATATATGAATCCAGAAAAATTATTGCCATCTTCAAGCTGATACAAATACAAGACAACACAAAGAAGCCAAAATATTTCTTTTATATATCGTCGAAGTCGCAGAGGTCATTACGTTTTCGAACCTGTATTTACACAGCAATCACATGTATTCATCAAAATCACCAAAGTATTGTGCCGATTGTCTATGATAGCGACATCTAACTTTCCATCACCATTGAAATCGCCTTCAACAAATACTTCTGGTACGCTTGTTGCTCCTGTAGAGAATGTCATCTGCGGCAAAAACATTCCGTCACCCAAGCCAGACCAAAATCCTATCGTATGCAAATTCGAATTGCTTACAACGATATCGGAGTTATTATCATTGTTGAAATCATCCACAACAACCCAATATGGACTACTATATGTTCCCGTGGGCAAAGTCAGTTGGTTTCCAAACGTACCATTATTGTTTCCCAAATGCACGGCGACATTATTTCTATTTGCATTGACAACAGCTAGATCGAGATAATCATCTTTATTAAAATCACCCACAGCTAGTGAATTCGGGAAACTAAACGCACCGAAATACAATAGCGTTGACTGTTGAAAACTTGTGTTACCACTGTTGAGCAAAATCCGTGCACTATTTCCAGAGTTATCAAGTATAGCTAAATCCAATCGATTGTCATTATTGAAATCACCAGTACCAACGAATGACGATCTTAGAGTACTATTAACAGAAAATAACTCCGATGTATTGAAATCACCATGAATATCCCCAAACAGAATAGATACACCAACACCAAAGACAACAACGTCCAGATAATCGTCATTATTCAAATCACCGACAGTGAAACCAAGGCTCACTTGAGCTGCAGAGCCACTGGGAAATGTCACTAAACTCTGAAAACTTCCATTACCATTACCAATATAGATCACGATGTCATTATTAAAGTTACTAAGACGAATACCAATATCGTCATGACCATCGTTGTTAAAATCAGCGACAGTGATCGAATTTGTACCATAATTATTATCGGTTGTAAACGTTGTGTGAATGTGAAAAGTTCCATCATTATTGCCTAACGCTATGGATAACTTACCGAGAGCACCAACAGATCCAGTTAGAGCCAGATCAAAGTATCTATCTTCGTTGAAATCACCGACAGCTATCAAATTGAGTGCATGAATAGAATCATTTGTAAATGGAGTCAGCTGTTGAAATGTCAAGGGACAAGATATGACTAAAATATATTGTGCTGTTGCATAGCGATCTTGAACGTATTACGGTACATACCCGAAGAGGTAGAAATTCCTGTTGTTGAACTGGTTTCATCGTTTGTTGTACTTTTTAGTGTACTTGTGAGTGATACTAAAAGAATGCATCAATAAAGACAGAGATACGCAGAAGTCTGAGAAAATAGAATCATACTTGAAGGTGTTGGATAGAGTGAATTGACCTGTCGATTTATATAAATCGTTGCTACAATCATAAGTGCAATTAGAAAGATAAATAGTATCAATCCAAGAATAAAATAGTAATATATCGATGATGAAGAATGTTTCCTACAAGAAATATATCGACTGACACGAAAAATTTTCAATGAGAAGATCCTACGGAATTGTAATAGCCGTGGATGCACTCTGAGAATTGATGGTGCTTGCAACAATTACTGTTACCATTGATGATGTAGGTTTCACAGTTTTTTTTCGCTTGATTTTTACAAAAACAAGAACTATCTTAGGACACATCCATTTCAAGATGAACGATAGACCACCATAGAGACTCAGTAAAACAGTTAACGTATAGAGAGAGGTGAGTTCTTGCGTATACGTATATTCACATGACGATGGCGCACATTGCTCAAAGTAAGCTGAATAATTGGTTGTCGTTAACCAGTTCTCCATAAAAAGCTCATTAACGAGATTCAGGATAGTTGTATTCATCGAAAAGCGACTATTATTCATCTGAACAAGAGAATGAAGATTAGCATCAATAAAAGTGCTCATATTGTAAATATTTTCCAAGATAAGACGAACGCAGTCTGAATCATAAAAGCATTCCAATGTTGAAGCAAGATATGCTTCGCTTGGTGTACATCCTATTTTCAAACCTTGGATTTCCGATACTTCAGACGTATTTGCTTGAACAAATCTCGCTGGACTAGTGCAGTTCAGATTCAGCGCACATGAACAATCATCATCATAGACTATTGCCTCCGTAATCGCAATTGCAGGAGTAGTGTTGACCCACGGATTAATAAACACATAATTAGTTTCATAGGCTGAAACGATTGCATTACCATGATTCACCGATCGAAGTAACGAAAGATATCGCGTGAACGAACTGGGAGCATTGAACTGACTCTGATTGACGAGTAAATCGATGTTTGTTTGCAGCTTTTTACTTGGCAAAAGTTGATTGCTGACGAAATACGAAGAGAGAAGTTGATCAATCGAATTGTTCACGGATTTCATCGATCGAGAACATAAGCCCGACAGAAGTTGTAAATGTGATGAGAGAAAACGACGGTAATCTCTTTTGGAATAGGTAGAAAGGTCAGAAGCGAGATTATTCGTAAGATTTACACGCCATTCATCTAAGACGAATTGACTCGTACATATCTATGCAAACAAACATAATTTCTCTTCGCTTTTTCGGTTTAATACATTACTTACCGGGTGAAAAATAGGCTGAGCGGTAACGAATTGCTCGTAAGTCGATGAAATTGACGAACAAGGACATCGTAGGGTATCATCATGAGTTGACAAAAGTTTTTCATAAACATTGTATGTCGGATTTGTCAAGATATTTCTTAGAATTCGTGGTTGAATTTCATTGTAAAGTGTCAAAATGCTCATACTTATCAAAAGTAGTACAATATAAAGACGAGTTGATAACTGACCGAAATATGTTGCTTGTCTTCGATCTACACGACTTCCAAATGTTCGCAGAGGAAATATGTTTAAATTGGTCATTGTAGTAAACAATTGTCGGAAAAGCTTCGTCAAGGTCCCTTTCATCCGATCAAGAAACTTTGAATCGACTAGAAAAAGCAAATGTTATGCGCTATTCTGGAATGATCACTTACCGTTGTGATTTATTTGGGGTTGATTCGACTTCGTTCGAAAGAAAATGGTCACTAGATGTGGAGTTATTAATCGTAAGGCTGCAATAAGACCGCCGATTGACGATATCATGATCAAGATTGTTCCAAGAAAAGTATTCGTACGAATTACATGAGGATATAAACATTTGATTGGTGCACAAGAATTGTAGTAGTGCTCGAATGAAAACGACGGATTCCATTGTTCAATCATTAATTGTTTGACTATTGTGTCGAGTGTTGTGTTCGGAGGAAATCGACTGGTTACAGGATCGTAGGCAAGTAGATGAGCATTAAAAAACGGTAGACCAGTATCATAGTTGCTAAGCGAAAAATTTATATATTTATATTGAACGGTCAAGCACGATTGTGAATAGTAACATTCCAGAGTCGATCGTAAAAAGGAATCAACAACGAAACAACCGAGTATCGCTCCTGGTATATCATCATAAACATCGTCAGCGTGTGCATAGATTTGTCCTACAGGATCAACAACTTGGGTTTGACAAGTAGGATCAGTTGCGCAAATACAGTCGACCGTCGATGTTCTCCTGTTTTCCACTCCATTTAAACTGAAGCGTAGCTAAATGAATGAAATATCATTTGTTGTCTCTTTACTAACATAGGAACATACTGTTAACACTTGTTCATTGTCTAATGAGATGGGATTGACAAAAGCTGCGTTATCGCCTTTTGTGTAGGGTTGATCTATTTGCGTGAAAAGTTGAACTAAACCGACAAGAAGATCGAAGTTCGTGACAAATGATTGAATAAATTGGTTGAAGGTAATGTTTAATTGAGCATTGAAATCCGCGTGCGAAATGGCATTTAATGTGACAAAGGATTGAATTCCAAAACGTTGAAGCGCGTCAATCACACTTGAATTAGCTAATTGACAGAGAGTAGACAGTAAACGAAAATGTCGCGTGCTAAATCCACGCCATGCCGTAGACCATCCGTAGAGAGATAGATCAACAAATGGCAGAGGTGCGAGCCACTCTTCGCGAATGAAATCGCTTGAGCATACTTGATGGAATGTGGGTGACCATGTCGTCATTGCTTTATAAGGTGTATTGATGTTTGAACATGGACATTTTAAGGAATCGGAATACAAAGTATTCAAATCTTGGAATTTTGCTATCGAAGGATTCGCTTCTTCCAGCGTTACTATTTCGACTCGTAGTAATGTGAATAAGAGGAGCACAGATATCGAACCTTAAACAATACCGAAAAGACTCCACTCTTAAAGACAAAACAAATGATGAATTCAAACAAACATACTGATCAGTAGAATCAAATAAACTCGTGTAGTAATGTATTGTTTTTTTAGATCGATTGGAGTTCGATTATGCACCGATTTGAACAGATTTAATTCTTTGACATCTGTAAACAATTTCGGGATGTGTTGGATAAAGTGAACTGAAAATATACAGAATGAAATTGATTTAAGTTGCACTATCGAACGATACCCCATTGACTAATTGAATACGATCGAATCGTTGAGAAAATTGTGATCGACAAAGGTGATAATAATCGAAGTAGAATAGTAATACCGCCGTAGAGACCAAGCAAAAGCGTAATAATATAAGAAATATTTGTCTTACTGACTTGACTATACGTGCAGACAGTCGCGCCGCACGAAGCAAAGTATTGTGAATAGTTGACTGTTGTCGACCATTCTTTTATCAGTAAGTTCTTCAGAAGACTCTCTAATGGAATGTCTTGTCGACTTGTAGATGGCAAACCATTAGACCAGTTGAAATTTGCCTAAATCAAAAGAATGATCACAGACAAAATCTCTTTAAATAAATCCTCTACTTGATTCAAATTTGGAAAGAATTCAGTAAAGTTACTCAGACATGTTGTATCGTACAGACAGTCCAATGTGCTTGCAAGTAATGCATCAAGTGGATTGCATCCTGCGAAAAATCCATCGACCATTGCAGATGCACTCGGTTCGAAAGATGGGGGATATGTAGGCCAGACATAATGGTTAAATACCCGGTCAAATTCAGGTAGTTCATAAAAGCCAGTTGGACTTATGAAGCTTTTCACGGAACAACTTGCACCGAATAAACCTGAAGAGGAAGTCATGTTCGTGTTAAAATAATAAGTTGTATCAGCTATGCTATGAAACGATCCATCAAACCATGAAGATATATAAACGAATATATTCGTATTGAGTGCAGTGATCAGTGTGTTTGATGTTGTTATTATTTGTAGGAATTTCAATGGTGTTGTCACTTGTATAGGTAGATTGGTTCGAATGAGAGTAACATCAGTCATGATTTGGGTGTGAACTTTATCCTCTTGGAGAAGTTCAACGGTAACAAACTGTTTATTATTGAATTCAGCCACAGATTGCGCAACTGTGTCCTGGCAAATGCGACATAGAGCAGCAAGAAGTTCGAACTAAAGCAAAAGAATGAAGCATACCTAGTTTTTCATTTTTAATAATTGCGTTTACCTGAGAACTGGCCGTTGTTCGAAAGTCCATCACTAAATATGTACTTGCATCTGACAAGTAAAGTGCTTGAATCCACTGTTCACTAACAAAGATACTCAAACATATCGGATGAAATGAGATTCTATTCGAAACAAATTTCTCATATGGTATAGTGGTTGTCGAACATGGACAGGAAAGTGTATCGGCATGTTCGAGAGACAATTTATTGAACAGTGATGCATCGATATTGGAGATCGTGATCAGTTCAATTTGTGGAGTTATGATTGTAACAAGAGTGATTATGTAAATAATGACTGAAATTTCATTTCTCGAAAATAATGCTATTATATCGTTATTATACTTACTGATGAGAAGCGGAATGTACAATCGAGTAGCGTATAACTGATGTTTTACAATGGCTACTTGATTTTCTTCTTCATTCAGATCAGTTTCATCAGGTATAAATGCATTGTAGTAATAGATATGTTCTCGAAACCAGTACAACAAATCTTTGAGATTCATTATTATTTGTTTTCGGAACGTTCAACGTTGTGACTATGTATTCCACAAGGAAAAATATATAATGCGACTGCATAACCTGTCACTCACCCACATTTTATACTCTATGTCGTCAGTTTGTTTTGAAATACACAATTTCCTTGCCCGACAATTTGCTTCTGAGTGTTCTGATTGTGAAAAATACATCCTATTTAATAAATTAAAATCTTTTCTCTAGTGCTTTCGGGGAAAAAATATTTGTTGTAAACTCATTTCCTAAGTCATAGTAATATACAGACAATTGGGACGTTTCATTTGTAAACATACGGAAGCGGTAGTCCTCTATAAAGTGAAGAATTCTATAGTTACTGAGATACACAGTAAGTATCAGGAAAGAGAAACAAAAAAATAAATGACTTTTGTTGTTTTCCTACCTTACGGCATATCATTTACTTAATTTGAAGTGTTGCTATCCACGTTTTCAAAGAAGAGTTTCTTGATGTATATACTGATTGTAGACTTAAAAATATGATAATCACATTCTCAGCACTCTTAGGATAATTTGAACGAATGGACGAATGTGGATTTCCAAATTCAAAAATATCGTCGGATCTGTGTGTATTCCTTCATAAAGCACAACACTTTCATCATTCAGACATCCTGATACGGTATTGAATAGGATCATTTGATGAACGATAGTCAAAAAGATTGTCAGAAACGGAAATCGAACCCATGCTTACTATTGTGAACTTGATCCTAAATCTAAGGTATTAACTATTCGACGTCTCAGTACCATATTTGTATACGAAATATTCACGACAATAGTGAGGAGACCTCTTAATATCATTTATCTATATAGACACGTGGAGTCTGAGAAATGGAGAGTTGATCACAGAAAGTTCTGCTATCAATCCTGAGACTAAAATAAGTGAGAAAATATTATAAATTTCAGCCATTCTGATGTTGAACTATGAAATTTAATTTGATATAGAACTGTTGACAAGTATCTCAGTTATTGAAAATAATGATTACTAGGTGCAAATATATGAAATATCCATGAGATAGATTTTCAACAGACGCTATCAATTGAGCAGAGTTTCTTTATTCGAAGAAAAATATCAGCAAATTCTCTAGATTAACTATAATCTTTTCTTATTTATTTCGTAGAAATCTGATTTAAATTTTTATTACAAGAATAGCCGGTAAGTTGGCAGGAACAAGTCAACTTGTCAAAAGGACATGCACATACTCTCATATGTTAATAGTCTGGGTTCCACAAGGATGTCTAATAAAACCATCCAAACAATCAGCTAATGGAGTAATATTATTTTAAAAGTGTAAGCGCAATCTGGAGTTTGTTTTTTTTTTCACTTAAATACATTAATTGTGTGCATACAATAGAAGAAAAAAGATATGTCTAACACTGATTATAAAAGACATAACAAACTTCCGTCGAAGTCATATACTTTATATGAAAAATACGTAATCAGATTCTTTTTATATGTCGGTATTCTTCGAACACATACACTTACGTATTTGGTCATTTGTAATCATTCGAACTAACGTTACGATTATTTGTATGTTTCGACAAATAAAGGAAGAAGCTCATACAGTGTATATTTTACATCGCACTGACAAAAGATAATGTGCTGAAGTTATATGATAAAATGAAATCAGTGAGATTCAACTGTTTGAATTGATTGTCAGAACAGACAACTTATTCATTCAAAACAAGAAGACAAGTGAATTGATTTCTATTTACTTTTGGAATGTGTAGCTTCCTCAATCATCGTTTTCTTCGACATATTTGTATAGGAAAGTCCTTTTTGTTTCATATATTTAATGTCAAGTAGATGATATTCGTATTATTAAAAACCTTGTCATTCTACAGAGCTTTAATAAACTCTCTCAGTCAGAGATAAAGTTTGTGACTGTATTACTTTTGTTTTAACCGGAAGAGCTTAGTTTGAGAGTGGTTTATCGTCTGTAATTTGCTGCTCCTGTTCTCAAAGACCTTGCGCTACGTCTGAGATGTCAGCACATTTATTCGACAAACATCAAGCGCAATGTTACCGATCTGATAACGTTTACCAACACCATAGCTCGTTAGATACATCGAATGTTTTTCTTATTGGTGTTCAGTGCGTAATATTGTATGAGTTCTTCTTGTTCGGGCATCTTGCTCAGCGAATGGAACAATACGTGTACGTCGCCGGATGTGCTTATTCCAAAGATTAACAAAAATATCGAAGAATTCGTTTCGAAATGGTTTTGATGTTATTAAAAATACATAAAAAGGAACAACACTAATAAGATAGATCAAATTTTGCACGATGTACCCGAAGAATGATTCGATCTCCTGTCGTAGCGATGTTTTATCCGTGACATAAATTGTTGCTGCATTGTAAGCGAAATTGCATGAGATAGGAATCGACGTGGAAACGTTTATCAGAACCTCAACAATGAGTATGCGCATCAGTTGTCGATCTCGTTGTCTGATGTGTGCCTGACCATCGTGTCGTTGACGAAGACTACGGAAGGTGAGAATACTGAAAATACTCATTAACGTCGGCGGCACAACGCTGATAAATGTAATTTGATACGCTGCATAGAATAACTTGTATGCATCAAACATTCCACAGACATTGTTTCTGATTTCCATGAAAACAAGAATATGAATACTAACAATTAACCATACTGAAATCATAATCAAGACAAGTTTGACTGCGATTGAGATTGAAGAAAATGAACGCAGACGCATACTTGTTCGTGTACAGAAATACCGATCTATGCAGGCAAGTACGATACTATACCGAACACATTGACCGAACAGATGAGTACCATAAAATCTTGTCTTGCAATATGCTATCGATTGTTTTTTGAGGATCGATATGAGCAAGTGAAT